CTGAGGGGTCCCGGTGCCCCCAAATCCCTCACACACAAGGAATGGGTGCTGGGGGGTGTCCTGGCGACCCCAGATCCCTCACGCACAAGGTACGGGTGCTGGGGGTACCCAGGGGGCTGTGGCTTTGGGGATGGGTGCTGGGGGTGAACCAGTGCCCCCAGATCCACCAGCTCAAGCAGCACTCGCTCACACACAAGGTACAGGGTGTTAGGGGGTGTCCTGGCAACCCCAAATCCCTCACACACAAGGTACGGGGTGTTGGGGATGGGTCCTGGGGGTCTTCTGGTGACCCAGATCCCTCACACACAAGGGATGGGTGCTGGGGCTGAACCAGTGAACCCAGATCCCTCACACACAAGGTACGGGTGCTGGGGGGCTGTTCTGGTGACCCCAAATCCCTCACACACAAGGTATGGGGGTGCTGGGGGTGTCCTGGTGCCCCCCAGTGCCCCCCAGCCCTGGTGGTGAGGGTGGGCAGAGGTGCCCGGGGTCAGCATCACTTGGGGAAGGGGCAGCACTTTAGGGGAGAGGAGTCGGTTTAGGGGCAAGGGGCATCATTTTTAGGGGAAGGGGCATTGTCAGGGGGGAAAGGGGCTCATTGGTTTAATGGGGAACGGGCTCATCATTTTTAGGGGGAAAGGGGCTCATTGTTTTAATGGGGAACGGGCTCATCATTTTTGGGGAAGGGGCATTGTCGGGGGAAAGGGACTCTGATTTAGGGGCAAATGGGCTCATCACTTTTAGGGCGAGGCGGACATCACTTTAGGGTAAAAGGCGCCTCATCCTTGGCGCTCGGCCCCATTGGGGTCTGCCCGGACCCCCCCATACCCACGCTGCCCCCCGTCCTCCCACTGCGCAGGGCGTGAAGGAGTTCAAGTGCGAGGTGTGCGGGCGCGAGTTCACCCTGCAGGCCAACATGAAGCGGCACCTCCTGATCCACACCAGCGTGCGGCCCTACCAGTGCCACATCTGCTTCAAGACCTTCGTGCAGAAGCAGACGCTGAAGACCCACATGATCGTGCACTCCCCGGTGAAGCCCTTCAAGTGCAAGGTGGGGGCTTTTGGGGTTTGCTTTTGGGGAGGCGCCCCCTTTTCCAGGGATGGGGGGGAGCACGCAGCGGGACCCCCAACCCGGCTGAGCCCGTCCCCCCGTCCCCAGGTGTGTGGGAAGTCCTTCAACCGCATGTACAACCTGCTGGGCCACATGCACCTCCACGCGGGCAGCAAGCCCTTCAAGTGCCCCTACTGCTCCAGCAAGTTCAACCTGAAGGGGAACCTCAGCCGCCACATGAAGGTGAAGCACGGGGTGATGGACATCAGCCTGGACAGCCAAGGTGGGTGCTGCTCGGGGGGCTCGGTCATCACTGTTGGGTGGGCACCACAAAGATGAGGTGTGGATGTGGCACCCATGGTGACACAGTGGCCTTGCCGTGTTTCCTCACCATACAAGCGCTATCACTTGGAGAAGTGAACACTGTGGAGCATCTCCTGCTGAGGAGCGGCTGGGTTTTTTTGCGTGGGGCGGGGGAGCCTGAGGGGTGCCCTCATTCCTGGGGATCCATTGGGAAAGGGCAGTGTCAGGAGGAAGGAGCCAGGCTCCTGTTGCTGTCACCCCCGGTTGGGGGATGCTCCATTGGCAGGACCAGGGGTGGCTCCGTCCCCATCTCGGGGACGAGCTCTGCCCCTGTCACCCCTCAGCTTGCTCTGCCCCTGTCACCCCTCAGCTTCCCTATCCCACCCTGGGGGACGGGGTGGGTTCCAGCCCTGTTGCCCCATCCCCACACCCCATGGCCGCGTCCCTGCGCTCTGTCCTAGACCCCATGATGGAGCTGGCGGGGGCCGAGCAGGACGGGCCGCAGGAGATGGACGACTTCGAGGAGGAGAACTCCTTCGGCTACGGGGGCG